TAGGCGGGGGTGGTGCACGGGGGCGTGCCCCCGGAGCACCGCTCCGGTGTCGGGAGCGGGCCGGGGGCGCTTTCCCACGGGGGCTGCCTTCCCACGAGCCGGCCACATCTTCCTACTCACCAAAGTGATCGCGGATATTCGCGGGTAAAAATTCCTGGATTTCTTTTGTGCGGTCCAACTACGTCACGTGGAATTCTAATCCCAAATGCGTTTTGGCAGCGTGCGCTTCACAGCCTCACGAGATAAATCCTAATCTGAATCTGTCACAGAGACCCTAGGTGTTAGATTTGTGTTTGTAGATATGTATCCAGTGTATCCAGAACTTGGGTGGATACACAGTGTATCTAGTGTATCTCAACTCTCGGAAGCTGCATACACACGCGCCCTCTCCGGCTCTCGCTCGCTCATGCCTATCTAGGAGAACCAAAGAAAGAAAGAAAGAAAACAGACAACCCAAGGGAGGGATGGGAGGACGGCACGCCGCCACCACAGAGGGATTTTAAGGAGAGGTGTGTGGTGCGCTAGCCGTCGCCCACCCTAGGGAGTCTGCCTCTTCCTATCTCTCTTCGCAGTCTCTCTCCGATTCTCGCTGCAACCTTCATGCCACCTCGCGGTCGTCCCACTCTCGTCGTTCTCTCCCTTGTCATTTCCTCCTCTGTCGCGTCGTTCCCTTCTGCCTCGTCCTGTGACGCCGCCGCCTGCCGGTCCCTTGTTCTCGCGGCTTCTTTCGCCTTTCGGCGCAACTCCGTCCTCCTCGCGGCGTATCCTGGCCCCTCGAGTCTATCGAGCTCCCCTCGCGCAAGGACCACGTTTCTGACTCTAGGAGAACCAAACAAGCCATCGTGACATGCTCACTTTCTTCCTTTGATCCGTCAGTGTCCTCATCCGACTCCCAACGCTCCACGTCTGCGCTCCACCCTGCATCTTGCATGCGCAACTGCACATGCATCGCTTCGTGGCAAAACACGAGCTTGTCCGCGGTGCCGTGAGACATGCGAGATTTGTGGGCGCCCTGGATCTGGCCATAGACTGACCAGTTGCGCTCGGCGGCGGAAGCGGCGGCGGCCTGCGCGAGCACACGCGGTGCAATGGCCGACAGCAGCGGCAAGTGCTTGCCATACATCCCCCACCACGCTGCCGGCTCCATGTTCTTCGCGTTCTCGAGGACCGACGGCCGGCTGAAGACACCGTCGCGGCGCTGGTAGACGGCAAACTCACGCTCGGCCTGCGCCACACGCGCGACGACCCCGGGGCTTGTAGTCGTGAGCTCGCGCCACGCCTGCTCCGGGTTGGCCGACGCCATGATCTCGTCTCGAAGGCACAGGCGCTCGAAGACGATCATCAGCCCCTCCATCGTCTTCGAAACCGGAGCTGCGTGTGTATCGCTCACTCGTTCGAACTCGTCACTGTGTATCCACTGTGTATCCAGACTGAGTGTGGATTCACGTGTATCCTGTGTGTCCAAACCACCCCCGGTGTGTGTCTAACACCTAGGACAGAGACACAGTCTTCTGTGTGCAGTCGTCACACACACGACAACATCAGATAGTCACTCTTCTCTCTCACACACGACTCACGAGACACGTGCTGCCGAAAAAGAGAAATAAGCAGTCCCAATGCAAATGTTTTCTCTCTCCGTCACCTCCTAATATGCGTCAACATGATCTCAGCATGAGGGCTGCGGCCGAAGCTGCTCCGACGAGTGGCAACGCGTCAAGCTCTCGCTCGGCGCGGTCCTCACCTCCCTGCGCAGCGGCGCCTCGGACCACTCGTGCTCGAGGTGGTCGTGCCTCAGCTGGTACGCCCTCCTCCAGGCGTCCCTCCACGCGTCGTCGACGGCGGAGAGGAAGGAGTCGAGCGTGCTGTGGTCGGACGGGTGCAGCGGCTCCGAGGTGGCGCGGTACAGCCGACTCGAGAAGGAGACGCGCCCTCTCCGCTCGTCCATGATCTTCTCCTTCCCCACAGTGATGACGACCAGCGCCGCGTCGCCAGACTCGTACACATTCTTGAGCCCGCCCACGCGGAGCGGCACCGGCTCGTCCGCGTTGGCGTCAAAGGCGCGCCGCGTCCCCTCCGGGTAGAGCAGGTACCGCTTGTGACTCCGGCAGCGCCGCGCGAGGTCCTCGCGCGCCGTCTTTGCCCAGCACGGCGTGTCGCTCCTCGAGATGGCGAGCACGCGGCCGGCGCAAACGCCGAGCAGGCCGCTCAGCATTGTGGCGGCGATGGCGGCGGTGCGCGCGATGACCACCGCGTGGGCCTGCGCCGGATCGACCGCGAAGTCGCCCCACGAGCGGTGGTTCATCAGGACAGCGCCTCTAAAGTGCAGCACCCCCGGGAGCAGCAGCCGCGGAGGCGCGTCGGCGGCGTCGTAGATGCGGACGCCGTGCACGTGGCAGAAGGCGTGGGCGCACAGGCCCCACGGATCGCTGAGCCAGGGAGGGATCGCCTCGCTGGCGCCGGCAGCCAATGCGGCAGAGGCGAGAGGCCGCAGCAGCAGCCAAATGGCGGTGCACACCAGCGGCGCCGGCAGTCCCCACCAGAGCGACGCGAGGGCGAGCGCCGCCCACCCGAGGAGCGCGGTGAGCCGTTGCAGGGCGGCGGCGCAGCACGCGTACATGGCAGCGCCGGGCCAGGCGATCGATTACTGTCGTCCAAGAATTTTACAACAAAACTCCCTCGCACGACACTGGGCACAGGACTGGGCACGGGACTGGCTCGCACTGGCACTAACACAGGTACACCACGGGAGCCGCCTAAGCGACTCCTGCGAGGGTGGCGAGGCACTTAGCTCCGTGCACCCGCCCACCCCCGCCACAGGCAAGCTCATTCACAATCTGCTCTGCGATTGCCGTGTGAAGAACGACTGAGATGCGCTGCTTCTGCAGCCCCAGCCAGCTCTTGGTGGTCCAAGTCACCTCATCGAGGTACTGGGCCCGCGTCAGCTTGTTCTGCAGCACGTTCGCCGCCCCCCAGAGGATCTCGGATCTCGCCGACCCCCCTTCCCAAACCCACCGAACGACTCGAACAGCAGCAGCCGCACGTCGACGTCCTTGTCCTCCCTGGCGTAGCGATACTCGCCGCCATAGGACGGTATGCGGCGGTCGCCGCCCACCACCCTGCCCCCCCTGGTATGCCAGCGCCCGGTCCCTTGCCCTCTCTCGCCCTTGCTCTTCCTCTCCCCCTCCATGCCGCCCCCCCCC